GCAATTGGTACCCATGGGGATTCCAATAGATTGTTGGAATACCTGTTCTCCAAAAACCACGTAGATATTGTCAATCCGAAACTCAAGAATCTCTTTGATGTCAACTTCAGAGTACTTGTGTGTGCAATCAGAATGTGTTTTAACAAAATAATTTTGCAAATGACCAATGACAAGGTAAGTAAAATTACGAGTTCTATTTTTATTTAAAAAGCAGCTGGTTTTTTTTAAATTGAAAAGTTTGGAAGCAATGGTCCAAGTATATTTGTAGGAAATACAAGGTGTCGTCTTTAACTTGAAATATGGTGGAATACAAGACTGGACCCGTTTGTGATTAAGAATATTACTTATATTAACCGCGTCAATTCCTTTATTGGCATATTGAAGTTTAAGGAAAAGACGGATTGTTTTAGCTGCATTTTCTTCCGTAAAACGTGCGGGTTTAAAAATCCTGTGATTTGCAATATCCATAATCACAGATCCGAGCCTAAATTCTGAGGTCGAAGAATCAAAAATTGGACTTTCCTTGGACTTTTCAAGAAGACTATTTAAAGGTTTCAAAGGGACAGAGTAAAGTTTGGTGCGAATATGATGTAGACCTAACTGTTGATTTAGATAAGGTAGTAATGAATCAAAAGAGACATCGTGTATTGCAGGTTTTTGGTACGAACGATGCCCATGACTACACTTACGTCTCTGTGTATGGTAAAAAAATCCCATCACATTTATATATAATTACATTGCTAAACTGTGGACTGGAAAGCTTAAGATTTCCAACACTATCGACCTTGCCATTACATTCATAGACTCTATAGAGCAGACACTCTAACCACTGCGTCATTCTAAACCTATACGTCAATTCAAACCGTCAGTTCCCACCTACATATCAATTCTAACCGTCAATTCCCACCTACATATCAATTCTAACCGTCAGTTCCCACCTACATATCAATTCTAACCGTCAGTTCCCACCTACATATCAATTCTAACCGTCAATTCTCACCTATAAGTCAATTCCCACCTATACGTCAATTCTAGCCGTCAATGCTAACCGTCAATTCCCACCTATACCTCAATTCTCATCTAATTTTTAAAATCTGATTACAGCCTGTCTGCAGGATAAGTTAAAACACTGTATGCAAACGTAAGACAAAACCCCCAAAATATCAAATTTAAATGATTTTTATGGCACCATTGGAATAATGATTATATGGATTCATGCAGGGAATACCGATTTTATGTTATACAAGCGTCCAGAGAATAATGAATGCTTTTGTGATTATAACATTGTAAATAAAATTCAGCTTTTATGCCTAAAACCACTCTGAAAATTTATATTTCATGTACAATATAATCACAATCAATATCAATTTTGACAGCTATCATACTGCCCAATAACCCTCAAATATGAAAAAAATGTATTACAAAAAAAGAAAGAAATACAGACATCGTCAATATCAGATGATTGAATTGCATTAGGTCCAAGCTAATAAGTGGTAGGAGTAACTTTTTTTTTACTGCTAACGAAAAAAATCATGAACATGTTACACAAACATGATTATATAAACAATGTACTACTTTTCCGTAGCCTCTGTGTCTACAGTCAAAGATGAAGGACTCTGTGCTCTGGCATTGAACTATGTCTAACCAAACACGCCCAGCCTCAACTGTGAAATAGGCACGACGGTGATTCGAGAGCGAGTTGAGATTCTATCAAGAACATTGGGGGAAAATCATGAAATGTAACGTTTAATTTGAGAAAGGGATTCAATGGAAAGAAAACGCATTATAATTACACCGAGTATTCAAGATTTTTTTCATACAAATCTTGCATTTGTATGACTCCAATGATTATCACAAATAGTTCGCTGTTGATTTTGGTAAATCTTGTGATTCACATTGTCCAAAAATTCCTTGGAATTTTTAAGTATCAAGGACCTTAAGACCTTCCAGGATATAAGGATTTACTGTAAAATATTTTTCCTACATTGAACTAAAAAAGATTAAAAACAATTCACTTGCATAAAATTCCACTCAAGTAAACAATATTATTCATATAATAGGAATTGGAGAAGAAGGAGGATTTGCCCCTCCAACCCTTTTTCTGAATATAAAATTTAGCCATTTTTAATTTGAAATAAAATGACTATTGAAATAGACTAAGTTAAGTTAAAAATCTCTCTTAATTGAATGGACATGGTGAACATAATATTCAGTCACATGGAATCCATCTTCCGAAACCCTTGACTTGGAAGGATAAATAATCAGAAGCGGGGGATGTTTGGGTGGGGTATCCTCCCCTTCTATTTCCATGAACGTATTTTTTCCCGCTTGAAAATGTTCATTGCAAGTCTGGTTGCCCTACCTTACCTCACACGTTTTGATACACTAGTCTAAGAGTAAAATATAATTCCCCTTACATTACTAACTTTTTGAGGGGTCTAACAAAGATATTTCTGAGGTAATTTGTTATTTTGCCTTTTATAATGCGCCATTCCCCTTTCATTGCTATGCCTTGACATTCATTTTTTACATTGCGCCAAAAATAGATTTAAAATGCAAAAAAAAAATTAAAATTATGCTTGTGTTAACTGTGTTTGGCTTGGACTTAAGCAAATGTAAACAAGAAACTTGACATGTTTGCTTAATCAGTTTATATATATCATTTTAATCCTTAAATCATATTATAAAACAATCATTGTCTGCTTTTTTACGTCAGAACTATCAGTGATCCCCAATTTTTTTTTTTTTTTTTTTTTTTTTGCAAATATATACATAAGGTAGGCATTGAAAATTGGGTTTTACCTTTTTTTGTTGGTTTAACCCCCCCCCCCCACTTTCAATTAGTCCCCCCCCCTATGCAATTTGCTTCCAACGCCTATGCGCTTAAACAAAAAATTGTTTTAATTTTCATGCAATTACAGAAGACCTTATACAATACCACAACAGGATGTAATTTTTTTGTAATCAACATATATATTCAATTATTTTTAATAATCTACCGCGTTATTTCAGCAATTTTTACTTCTATGTTTTGGGTTTACAACAAGGCTTAATATTACAAAATTAGTGTAAAACAATCATTTTCATGGTTCTAATTATACGTTCATGGGTAAAAATGAGGTTGGAATAAATTGATTGGTTGTATGTTGTTTTTTATGTATTTTTTTTCACTCATTTAGAAACTTCACCATATAATTAATTGCAAAGGGCTTCAGATTTAGACCTTTATTCGGCACTCAGGGCCATTAGGTAGTGAGGGTTCTTTATCGGATCAACACCTACTGTGACACGGGGCTTCATCCGAATAACTGCAATTTCTTCAAAGTGCCGAAGGAACAGTTGCTTCCAATTTTTACTCAAGCCCTAGAGGGGCTTGAGTTATCTAAAACGATGCTAGGTAATCGATTTACTCAGTTTAAATACACAAAAAGATCGATATTATTTTGATAGATAGAAATATTTCTAGAAACAAAAATGAAGGTTATCTTGAAAAAGGCTGTATATTCGCAGATATTAAGCGTTAAATGTCGGATTCTATTCTATGGCGAATGAATAATGAGTGAAGCTCCGCAGCCGCAACAGTTTGTAAACAGAGATTTTGCGCTTTCCTTTGCGTAGGAATCTCAGGTAACTTTTACAGTCGCCGACAAAGCATCATTGGACGAGTTCACTGTTTACTCTGAAAGGTGAAGCAGGTTACCCATCGTTAACAAATTCTACTATACATGGCCAGAAAATGTTTGGTTGTACCCCCCATTCTGAAATTGCTTCTCACGGGCCTGAGAATGATGTGCATGTGCGCTTTGAGTGGCAGTAATTTGATTTGAACATAAAATGAGTGACAGTAAAATAATAGCACAAAATAAATCTTAAATTCTCCCTCATACGTTTTTTTTTTTTTAAATTCTAAAAAATCGTACTAATAATCTTCAGCTTTGGTAACGGAACCTATATAACTTCTTTTGGATTCGTATGGAATACTGTTTTGCAAGACACAGCTAGATAAACCCGTAGTCATATGGATTTTTTGGTGCCCTGAGCCCCCCCCCCCCCTTCCCCCTATCCACTTTGAAAAACGTTTTTATCTGTAGGCTTGTAACGAGCTATTTGGATTGATGTACTGTATATTAAATGTTGTGATGTACGCCATTAAGCAAAAATACAAAATTAAAAAAACGTATTTATAAATATATTGAAGTATATCAACATAAAAAAAAAATTTCATTAAATTAAGAAACGGCCACTATGCTCCATAAAATATTCCTGAAAGTGAGTAACGTAAATTCATCTTTAAAAGTAGTAGATTTAATTTATTTATTTTTATTAAATCTAATACTGAGTATATGAATTTTGTTTCATGTAAATGTATTTCATTCAACAGAAGATTGAACTCAATGGCCCTCATCTTATACCATTATAGGATATTAATGACACTTCCTAGTTGACTTTCTACAGCTTGAGTATCTCTGACGTTTTGTCAGTATATGCTTGTTATCCACCTAAGTCAGTCGCGACCGTGGTTCTAACACACAACTTTCCAATCAAAGAGCGAACGACTTACCAACTGAGCTACTGTCAGGGTTAAAAGGCTTTCTGAAAATGAAAGTCATCATCCGGAAAATATGTATAATGCACGAATTTTTTTACACTGACCTTTGAGATATCTCATGTAGCCTTTCAGCTTTTGTAATGAAAGTTTGCACCACAACTTTCTATGGTCTCAAGAAGACCCTTTTTATACGAGTGTTACATATAAGACAGACAGACGAACAGGCGGACGGACATTCGGACAGACAAATCCAAATAAATTGCAAAGAACTTGGGGACAAAAATATACAAGGTCAGTTATGTACTGAAAACGTTTTTTTTTTTTTCAATTATATCTTTTCTATAAATAGCCACTGAACTCGAAACACAAAGCTAAGATTTTTTTTTCGCTAAATGGTATTTGTCCTAGAGAGTCAAAGCTGTCGTATAATTTTCCTTTTCTTAATTTCCTGTTTCAATATATTTCAATCAGTTTTATTTTCTGCAATAGTTTAAAGGAACAAGAAAAGATAGTTTTCATCGACTTTTTATGCTTTAGTATAAAAAGTTGACTTATCCGGAACCTGTCCAGCATTGCACCCGTCCGATACACAACAAAAATGGCAGCTGTATTGTCCAGACATAAGCACATTCCCATAGTTAGTACAATATTCTTGATCAGAAGATTGATGGAGCCATTTGTTTCGACACTCTTGCTCCGAGACGCACCTAAGGTAATAAATTCATTTATATAAACCTTGTAAAAAGTATTCAACATAAATTTTTAATCTTAGTGTCAAAAAAATTTATATATTTATTGCTATGAAATCATTTACCTTTTATAGGTTTTTGGGTAAGCGTGTCCGTCGTGGATAATATCAGTCATACAGAAGTCTTCACCTGGTGCACAGCTCTGTAAGTTACCTAAGTAGATGGTCCTCGTGTCACAGGAAATGGAGTTGTTAGCGTCCCCACATGTGTGACACTTTCGTATTCCTTTGACACAAAAAATATGAATTAGAAATTTAGTTTGAAAAGTTATAAAGGCTTTGAATCGAAAATTATTTCAATATTAATACTGAAATAATATGTATAAAACCTATGAAAATACAACTATTAATAGTATCCTAGGTTAAAGTAATAATTACAGACTATTTGAAGTTTAAAATTTTTCTGACGGTAAGTCAAAGCAAAATCCGGGAAATTACTCCATCGTTATTTTTCCCTTAAACTCAACATAATTAATGATGAACATATCAAAGTTAAATTGTTTTTCAAAATAAATGATGATTTAAGCATTGTGAAGCTAAAAAAACCCACAATGCTAATTAAAGGCCTTGAAAAAAGTTACTCATTTTACATGGTAAACTCATTCTGAATATTTTTTCTGACAGAAAAATTATCCAACCTTAAAGAATTACCATTTACATACCCGTTGTCGCAGCATGAACTGAAATAGAAAATACAAGCTAAAAAGCATAAAATGATTTTAAAAGGCATCTTGAGAATTGATGCATAAATGCATGCATTTTGTGTATTATTTTCAATGTTATTTAGGTGAACTCCACGAGAGAATTGAAATACAAAACTAACTCAAGTAGATGTACTGTTTTCCGCGTTGTATTAATTTACGCTATGTACGCGATCACAAACTTTCCGCGGAAATTTGTTCCATCAAAAATACTCATAGAAGGCATATAACGAGTCTTAATATATCCTCGTAATTTTTTACAAGTTGATCTGATTGAACAGAAACAAAGATTCCGCGGAATTATGACCCCGTGGAAAAAAGTACGTCTACAGTAATTGTAAGATCACCTGGTAATACAATTCCTCCTCGACGCTTAAAACAATTGTTAATGAAAAGATAAATTATATCATGGATTGATTGATTGCATGTTGTTTAACGTCCCTCTCGAGAATTTTTCACTCATATGAAGACGCCACTAATTGCCTATGGAGATCTGCAAATTTTGTCCAATACTCGACGCTTACGGCCATTAATCAGTTATGGAGATCTATTTCGTGCCAGCACCTACTAGACACGGGACCTCATTTTATACGGTCTTATCCGAAGGAACGGTCTCCACATCTCACAGTGAGATTCGAAACCGCAAAGTTGGGATCAGCTCCTTACTTTACGACTCTAGAGCAAACGGTCTAACCACTGCGCCATGCGGGCTACTTATATCATGGATAAAACTACTCTCTTTGAATATCTTTGTCTGTGAGTTGTTTAAAGAAGGTTTTAGTTCAACAGATGAAGACTATTAAATAAAATGTTTTCATTATATACCTGGATTTGTGGAGGGATCTGAAGTTGATGATGTCGAAGCTGCTGAAGTTGATGTTGGTGAGGTTGCTGAACTTGATGAAGAAACAGATGAAGACGATGCAGTAGATACCATTTTAGAAGTGGATTTTGCTGTTGACGTTATTGAAAGTGTGGTTGGTTGTGTTGTTTTCGGGAATGGTGTTGAATTAGTTGTTGGCATTGAGGATACAGAAGTGGATCGTAATGTGGTTGTCGGTACAGCTGTGTGTTTTGATGATGTTGAAACTGTCGTATCTAGCAATATGTGAAAGTTAGATATTTTACTAAATTTTAACCTCCATAAATACGAAGCGTATGTTTGTATTTATTCCTCAATTGAAATAGTATATCCAGTATGAAAACTCTATCAACGCTTGGCTATTCGAAAACCATAAAAGCAGTTTTATATGCATATATCTTTGTATGTGTAAAGACACTTGTTTTGATAAAAATAAAATCAGACAACGTGCGAGTTCTTCGGGGGTCAGTGTTAGAATTTTAATAGTCGATGCTGAACTTTTTCTGTCATCTCATTTCTATAAATTATAATAACAAATATATACACACTAATGAATTCTGTGGGTAGAAGTCCTTTTGGACTTAGAGGTGGCTTGAGATTCATAGACAATGAAGACTCAATGGGTTCTACTATTGTAACGAGACCGAGGGTATCGTGTTATAATTAACTCGTGGGCCGCTATTGGTTTTCTGGTCAATGGTCGAGATTTCATGGTAACTTTGGTCACAGTTTATGTTATGGTCAATGACCAACTTTTGGTCACTTCTTTGGTTGACGTAATGACCAACTTTTGGTCACTTTAAATAATGTTTGTTAGGAATAACACTTGTTAAAAGTTTATAACATTTATTAGGATGATCAAATGGTTCACTTATAAACACACAGAATGGTACACTGTAACTTGATTGGTACAACGTTATTTGGTTAACAAAAAGGTGACCAACCGATGGTCAATCCAGGACGTCCCTAATAAATTGGTTCCCTTAATGGTTTCGTATACATAGACTTGGTACCGTCTTATAACCGAAGTATACGGAGTCGTTCCCCAAAGTGACTTACTAGGTCACTTTCCCTTACCAGGGAAGGCTGTGTGCTCCGAGTCGCTCCCCACAGCCGACTGAAGTCTAAACCCAAAACAGCTGGTTTATATAGACAAGAGTTGTTATGATGACGTAAGAGACAATCAGATACCTATATTACGTCACAATCAATACAATCAATAAGTTAGCGAGTTTTGACTATCAAAATTACCTAACAAATTAATAACGTTGTACCCATATAAAACATACAAAATACATCACTTTGTCATTAAATTACACAAGTTAAATTAATAAAGTACAATTCAGTTAATTATTGTTCATTTCTTATGTTAACTGTTCATTGACAATTATTTACGGAGTTTATAAACATCGGGTTCAAGTTCCATATATTCCAAACTTGTAAACAAGAGTTAACCCGAATTTCACAGGTACACTTCGTGAAACGTAACATTACCCCCTTCTTAAGTCGAAACGTCCTCGTTTCTATTTAATCAATGACTTATTCAAGTCCACTGGTAATGTCTTTCGAGATACGCGTTACACGGATATAATATCATCTGCTTCACCACAAAACAGCTTCATCTGGTCATGATTCACATATTTTGGTTTCTCGGCTGTACACTTTCTCACTTTGAATACCGAATCGGACACGGCACTTAACACTGTGTAAGGTCCATTCCAATGAACCTTAAGTTTAGGACATCTTCCTTTGGTCCTTGACTTTGACGCAATCCACACACATTGTCCTGGGGTGTACTTAATCTGGTTTGACTTGGTGCCATACTTTCGTTTCTGGTTATCGGTTGCTTCTATCCATCGGGTGCAATAATCTGAACTGGTAACAACGTCCTTGTTACCCTTCTTGGTCCGTGGTAAAGGACCAAGGATGTCGTTGGCCACTTGTTCCAGTGGTTCCCTAGCTAAACATTGACCCGGTTTTCCTCCGACTTCCCTTGGTTGATTCTTCTTTGAGTCACCAACGGTACAGTCTCTGATATGCTTCTCAGCGTCGTTTGTCTCCTTCTCGTCACGAGGTTCACATAGTCGTCGGTCATTATTATCATTGTGTAAAGCTTCTTGTACGCAAATTTTGAACACAGGATTGTGTTCACTCTTAATGTCACATGGTAATCTATTCTTTCCCAATGTAAGAGTTCCTTCACCCAAATTCAATTGACAATGATGCTGTTTCAGAAAATCAAGACCTAAAATCATATGTGACTCAACGTCAGCGACGATCACCTTATGTTCCGTAACTTCACCATCAACACCAATTTGAAGTTCAGTCTGACCTTCTGGTACAACTAAATCACCGTTTGCCATCTGTAAGTTACTACGGTTTGGAAATAATTTAGGTCTAACACATCTTTCTATCTCGTAATATTTCTTTGGGTGGATAACTGTTATAACTGAACCAGTGTCAATGACACAACTGATTTTCACATTGTTAACAAACACGTCAATTGTTAATAAGTTGGTACTGCAAGTATTTGAGTTCTTTATTCCAAAAACATGTGGCCTTTTCTGTTTTGTAGTTGACGTTAGGCCGCCGACGTCAACTACTGTGCGTTTCCATGGTTCTCAGGTTCTCTGGTCGTCACGTCTTTTACGTATTCCGGTTTTCTTTGGTTTCTGTATTTTTCATTATTTAGGTGCCGTTGTAGTAACCTGCATTCTCTTTTGATGTGACCATCTTTCTTACAGTAGAAACAGGTACCTTTCTTGTAAAACTTCTTTTCTGTGTTTTGACTGATCATAGCTATTTGATATGAGTTATCATCGTTTTCGGTTATGTACGTTGGTTCCTCTCTCTGCATACGCACTGCAACTTGATTTCGTCTCCCCCGTGCTTGTTGAAAGGCCTCGTATTCCAATGCCAGTCGCACTGCATCTTCTAGGTCTGTAGGTTTTCCTTGAAACACTGCCCATTCCATTTCTTGGTCATTTAAACTTCCGATGAACGAATCTTTGGTTATCTGGTCGCGGAAACTTAGGGGTGCGTTCGGGTATGACATCCTCGTAAGTCGCTTTATGTCTTGCATTAATTCTGTGATCGTTTCGTTATTTTTCCGTATTCTGCTCTTTAGTTGCGTCTTGTAGATTTCTGTTTGATTTTCTGTGTCAAATCTTGCTGACAGTGCGGTAACAAGGTGACGAAAATTATACCGAAATTCTGGTTGTAGGTCACTCAAAACGCTCAGTGCCGGGCCGCGTAGACTGGTAGCTAACTCTAATGCCTTTGTCTCCTCATTCCAGTTGTTTAATTGAGCAATCATGTTGAAATGAACAATGTAGTCGTTCCAGTTCATGGTACCATCGAATGTTGCTGGTTTTCTCCCTTTGGGTTCCGGGGTATGTCTGAATCCGTGGTCATAAACTTGTCTTGTATGACCATAATTTGGTACATCGTAATCTAATCTGTGTATGGTCTGCCGAAATTCGTTGGTCCTAGCATTGGTAGTATAACTGCGTGATACTGTCGGATTTGACCAACTTGTCCTTGAATGTTCATAATCACAAAATTCGTCACTTGAATTTTGTAGGTACGTATTTCTATATGGGCGATGTTCACTGTGTATTTGGTCATCTTTAGACGTAGTATTGGTACCGGATTGCACGCAATTTTGGTCTACATATTGGTTGTTAGCACTCATTGGTCTCACTTGAGATTGTAATTGGTTCATTTGGGACTTCAAAGTTTTTAATTCTTGTAGAATTATGTGTAGACTGTCGTTGGTACATGTGTTGACTGCGCTGCCGTCTCCTATCTGGTCGTTGTTATTAACCCGCAAAAGAACTTCTTTGCTTGGAGTACCGTCGATAAACTGTAATTCTTTTGGTTCTGTATTATGGTCACTTTCCTCAACCAATTTTTCGTTCCTCGACATCTTTGAAATGGTTTAGGTTCACAATTCACAGAATAGCGGATCCCACCGCTGCCACCAATGTAACGAGACCGAGGGTATCGTGTTATAATTAACTCGTGGGCCGCTATTGGTTTTCTGGTCAATGGTCGAGATTTGATGGTAACTTTGGTCACAGTTTATGTTATGGTCAATGACCAACTTTTGGTCACTTCTTTGGTTGACGTAATGACCAACTTTTGGTCACTTTAAATAATGTTTGTTAGGAATAACACTTGTTAAAAGTTTATAACATTTATTAGGATGATCAAATTTTTCACTTATAAACACACAGAATGGTACGCTGTAACTTGATTGGTACAACGTTATTTGGTTAACAAAAAGGTGACCAACCGATGGTCAATCCAGGACGTCCCTAATAAATTGGTTCCCTTAATGGTTTCGTATACATAGACTTGGTACCGTCTTATAACCGAAGTATACGGAGTCGTATAAAGTGACTTACTAGGTTTTCAAAATACCATGGGAAGGCTGTGTGCTCCGAAATCCCCACAGCCGACTGAAGTCTAAACCCAAAACAGCTGGTTTATATAGACAAGAGTATGTTATGATGACGTAAGAGACAATCAGATACCTATATTACGTCACAATCAATACAATCAATAAGTTAGCGAGTTTTGACTATCAAAATTACCTAACAAATTAATAACGTTGTACCCATATAAAACATACAAAATACATCACTTTGTCATTAAATTACACAAGTTAAATTAATAAAGTACAATTCAGTTAATTATTGTTCATTTCTTATGTTAACTGTTCATTGACAATTATTTACGGAGTTTATAAACATTGGGTTCAAGTTCCATATATTCCAAACTTGTAAACAAGAGTTAACCCGAATTTCACAGGTACACTTCATGAAACGTAACACTATACATTGTTTTTGTACTCTCTGATATTTTTTCGTAAAATAGAAAACACTGCAGAATGGATATACTCAGTACTATTTTTGAAAACGTGTCGGAGATATGCGAAATAATGAACAATTTCAACAAATCTTATCATTGCTAAGGGTTTGTTAAACTCTTTTATAGAAACTTGCGTCATTATGAGGAAAAACATTTAGATTTATGACTTTTTGTATAGTTTAGTTTCATTCCTAATGACTTCCAGTGCAGAAAATGGTAGATAATACCTGGTGCTAGTCCACAAACACAGCTGTGAGAATTATATATGTAATCAAAGTGACATTGGCCAATCAGTCCTTGAGGGCAAAAACAATGTTTGTGTTCCGTGCAAACTGAAACAAAATATTGCAATGTACTTGATTTTCAATAATATCAACCAAGAAAGTAAATTAATGACAAAATACGGTTGGTTGTATTTATTTTGAATTAAGATTCAGATTAATTAGGGTAATTGTTTTGGATGGCTTCTATCTCTCATATATACGAGGGGTGATCAAAAAGTTCGCGAACTCATTGAATAACTTCCAAAAAGAAATGATATAAGGTTTCAGTGTTGAAAATGTTTCAAAGTAGTCCTCTCTGATTTTAATGCGCATCTGCAACCAATCTGCGTATGCGCGGATCACGTGATATAGGTGGTCACGTGCCATGCTTTTAAGCGTTCTGTCACAGAAGCTTAAATTTTTTTCCCTTTAAATTCTATTTGCAAGTTATTTTTTCCAACAAAAACAGTCTAATTGTCAGAAATGACCTAATCTCTGAAATAGTATAGGTGGATAATGATATCCTTTTGCAGAATGAGCATGGTGACCATCAGAACCCAAGTCCTCTGTATTTTGAGCGAAGTTTATTTCATGTGGATAAAGTATGGGTGCCTTCACCTTATCATATCTGATATGTTTAAAGTCTAAAGTAAACGATATTTAAGGGATTTGATAATTATATTATTGTAAAGATATTCATCTATTTTTCTAACTGTAAGTTGGCGATCTTTTATATCAAATTGCTTAACAAAGAATAGGTCTCTCTCCAAGTTTGCTTTCACTGGGCAACAGAACAAACATAATTTTTCAACAACGCCCTTCCTTCACTCTAATCATCAATCCAATTAATGACAAAACTTCTAGCAAGTTTTTTATCTTCATAAACCGAATACAAATAATTATAAATTTATACAAAGGAATTTCCAAGATATACGATTAACTTTACAGTCGTTCGTTTCTCGTATACGACTGAGTCAACCATTTTTTGTCACAAGTGATCTACCTTATGATGTCATTTTCACACTGTGACGTCACAAACACGGGGAAAAACGTTCCATTAAATATGCTATTTATAGAACATGTGTATGACTTTATGTGTGTCAAATTTCATTCTGATCTGAATTGTGGTTTTGTAAATATAGAGATAGTTCGCGAACTTTTTGATCACACCTCGTACAACCAAATTGCTGGAAGATGGCGATTTAATATCTACAAATATTTTGATTTTTTTTGATTTGCAGAGTAAAAAACCAATATTTTGAAATTCTAAAGAAATACCACTTACAACAACAACAACAACTTTATTTTCTTTTTAAATTACTATTTTTGCTTTTCTCGTCGCAGTTCCTTAAAATTACTTAAAAATACATGAATGCAAAAAAGAAAGTTTTGCAACATTAAATACCTAGGTTCCTATTTTGCTTCTTTTATTTCCCTTTCCCAATTGCAAAGAAAGTAAGAGAGATTTTACCTGTGCAGTGACATGTTGAAGAATATCTGTCGATTTTGCAGTAAGGGTGTTTATCAGAGGGACAGATGTGTCCACTACAATCGCCATGATTATGACAACCTGCTGTTGATAGCTGAGTCACGGTCAGTGGAGGAACGGATGTGGTTGTTGTAACTATTTGCACAAATAAAAAAAAATTCAATTAAGTATTTTAAAAAATTGTATATTATAAAGGATGAAAGCTCTAAAAAGAAAAATGAAACTGACATGTTAACTACAGTATTCTTTTTAGTTTTTTAAATTTTATTCAAGAAAATCTTTAAAATTGTTCTCTTAAAGAACCAAGAACAGATGATTCTATAATTTGAAACAATAAAGAATATTTTTCATCCGAAAACCATAGCCATTATCCATAGCATTCTAGTCCTCCACCCCTTCCATAGCTGTTTCAATGATCAATTTCATACTGTAGATTCCTTATTTTTCCCGAGTACTTTTTATCAGGAATGGGCTCTTCAACGGCAAATCACGAGAATTATAATTCGCGAATGGATGGTTGATCAAGAGATTTTACATAGATTTCAGCACCATAAAAATAAAGGCGAGTAATTAAGTTCGTGTGTGGTGCTTCTCGCGAAATTTAATTCCACGTGTTTATTTAGGAAATTACAGTATTCTACTACTGAACTTGACCAAAGACTGTCGAGAATCTACCTCAAGAGTCATGTTTTTCTTTATAGAGATAGTTACTTACCAGTAGTGGCAGCTGTAACAAAGATACGAATGGGTTAGAAATATCAAAATTGTATGAAAATGTTAAATACATATATTTCATATAACATTTTCAACAGTAGAATACTGTTTATATTCAATTTGCTTTCAGAACAATTTTCGAAATCCAAATCAGAGTCAAGTTTCTTTTTCTGCTGAAGGAGGAATAGCAATGAAAATTTTATTCATTAAAACGCTTACCAGTAGTAGTTGTTGTACCTGTTAGAATATATAAAATTGAAGAAATACATACAAAAATACATTGGTGTTTACGTATGTTTGTGACTAGATTAAAAATATGACGTTATTATCACAAAAGGTTTTTGTTCTTGTGTTTAAGGATTTCCATCCCTAATGGGTCCAAATTGTCTACTCTTAAATGTCCTTCAAGTACACAATACTCTGATATTATATTAAAGCATTTTATAGAGGAAAAAAATTGACCGTGAGAAATTTTCAAAAATTTCATTAATTAAGCAGTAGTTAATTAACAAAGATTGCATTAAGCTCTATTTAATAGCGTTTTTTCCAATTAAAAATTCAAATAATTAATCAATAAATCCTGTGGTGGAAAGATGCTTTGGAACATTAAAAATAGAATGACAATTGAAAACAATTTTTTTTACCTGCTAAATTTTTTTTAATTGATTTTTTTTTTATTAATTAAAAAAGGGGAGATAACTCTTACCAAAATTCAAGGTCATGAATTAGGACACATCCCACTGTACATACTTATAGTAATAAATGGGAAGTATGTCTAAATAAACTGAGTATTCAATGCCTACATATCTGTTATGTTTTCAATTTCATTAAATTTGTTCCTATTAGGGATTGAAGACCTTAAATCAAAGTCAAGATTTGATTTGGCATTTAATTCAATTTTTTTTTTATTTGGTAATAATTTATCGAATAAACAATAAAGTTTAATCAATTACTGAGTTGTTATCAGACTGATCAAAGTTATACTTACTTCCTCTTGATGTAGTTGCTGGAAAGTATAAATAAGAAACAATGAAAAAATATGTTTGTATTTTTCTTGACTATATAAAAGCAAATTGTAACAATAATATTGTATTGATTAAAACGCTTACCAGTAGTAGTTGTTGTCCCTGTTTGAATATATTACAAAAAAGATACATTGGTGTTTACGTGTGTTTGTGACTAAATTTGTCTAATGTATTAAAGATATGGCGTTATTATCACAAAAGGTTTTGTTCTTGTGTTTAAATCAAAGTCAGAATTGAGTTGGCATTAATTCAATTTTTTTTTTATTTGGTAATAATTCATCGAACAAATAATAAACTTTGATTAATTACTGAGTTGTTATCAGACTGATCAAGGTAATACTTACTTCCTCTTGATGTAGTTGCTGGAAAGTATAAATAAAAACAATGAAAAAAATATAATTGCATTTTTCTTGATTATATAAAAGCAAATTGTAACAATAATAATAAGGATATAATTAATAATAATAATAATGCATGTAGTAATAATAGTAATATTAACAATAATACCCTTCTTAAACATTACAACAAGAGAAGAAAGAATCTAAGTTGAAGACCAAACTCACAAACATTTAACCAAACTAAATGACATTTAGAATAAAATATTTTCTTTGCATTTCATACATGTTTAATCCTAATTTGTTATCAATTTCTGTGTTCTCATTTTCACAGTTAAATAATATTAAATCTTTTCTATCGCGATTCCTTGGATAAACAATTTTGAAATGGAAATCTTCATATGACGAATTTAGTAAAAAAAATTGCAAAAAAATGATTCACTATATGATAGTCTTTTCTATTAACATGTAGATATAAAACTTATGGGAAAGGAGACCCCCAGAAATAACATCGATGAAAGAGTTAATTCTTTCATTTATTTTTAAAAGAATAAGTTTATCTTTTTCTGAGTGTTTCTGGTGAGGAACATTTCTATAAAACTAAATATTTCATTTCATTTTATTAAAAATTCAAATAGATTATTTCTCATCCATTCCCGTAGAAGCTGCTTTTTAAAAGTTAATTCTTATTAAATGAGGATACTATTTGCGTGCAAATATATAGGCGAACGAATTCTTCTATTGTAAATGGATCACTGTATTTGAATTTCATATACAGTTATTCATAATGCATTATGCTATATTTACACCATAGTTTTCTGGAAATAACATTAAATATGTCAATTTATTATATGATTGAATAATTTCCTTCTCTCTGATTGGCTGAGAACCAACTATGTTAGAAAAATACTACGTTGTATTGACCTGCACGTGACGTTCCAGGTCAATACAAGGAATTATTGCAGGTCAATATAAGGAATTATTGACCTGTTCAATTTTTTCTGTTACAATGTGTTCTTGTTGAAATTTCTTGTTAAAACTTTCCATTAAAGCAAAGAAACAGTCTTGTAGGAGTTTGCTATCATTTAATCATATAATAAAACAGTTACTTGCTTCAAAGATTAAATATTCACAAATAATTATGATTCAAAATTTAACTAAAAAAAATTATATATTCAAATTAGATAAATCATTTGCTTCAAAGAAAATGACAAATAATTATAATCAAAATTTAACCCCAAAAAATATATATTCAATGAGGTTTGTACAAATGTTTTTTTTTTATTTTTGGCTGCTTTTAAAGCGAAATGTTTATTCTGCTTTCAAAACATTTACAAAATCCAAAGAACAATATAAATGCATCTTTTTCTGTCGATGAAGGAATAGCATTGAAAACATTATTGATTAAAAAGCTTACCAGTAGTAGCTGTTGTACCTGTTAGAATATATTACAATAAAGAAATATATACAAAAATGCATTGATGTTTTCTTGTGTTTGTGACTAGATTTGGCTAATATAATAAAAATATGGCGTATTATCACAAAAGGTTCCTTGTTGTGTTTAAATCAAAGTCAGATTTTATTTGGCTCTAATTAAATGTTTTTCATTTGGAAATAATTTATCGAATAAATAATAAACTTTAGTTAATTACTGAGTTGTTATCAGTTTGATCAAGATAATACTTACTTCCTCTTGATGTAGATGCTGGAAAGTATAAATTAAAAAAATGAAAAAAATATAATTGCATTTTTCTTGATTACATATATATAAAAGCAAATTGTAACTTTAATAATAAGGATATAATTAGTGATAATAATCCATGTAGTAATAATAGTAATATTAACAATAATACGCATGAAGTAATTTAATAAAGTAATACTTAACCAAACTAAATGACATTCTAATGCAATTGTTTTGTAAAACACGCTTTGACTGGCTAATGTACTGATGTTTGAAGCAGTAAAACGAGCATTAACGAGAGTGAGAGCTTTTCATTGTGACGTCATAATAGAGCGACGCAAAAACACAATGCTCCGTGACGTATTTCAATTCACAAAACTCAACAAAATAAGACGTAAACAACAAACAGAATGCTTAGATTGCATTAGAATGGGTATAACTATCTATTTTGTTGAAATGCTGATTTAACGGTCAAACTCACCGGCTCCAACGCGTCGCCGGTAAAACATTTTAAATCAGCATTAACGGTCAAACTGCCAAATTATAGATTCAATTTAAAATAAAAATATTTTTTCTTTGCATTTCATACATGTTTAATCCTAATTTCTTATCATTCTCTGTCCTCTCATTCTCACAGTTAAATTTAAGAAATAAACAACAATTAAAAAGTCTTTTCTTTTAGTTGGTCAATGATCCTTGGATAAAAAAATTTTAAATGTTGTTTAATCTTCATATTTACATTTGAAGACCTTTTGAGTAAATTTGCATTTATACACAATTGCTATGTTTTGAACTTGACCTATTGTTAGGTCAAAGTTAGTTTTCCTCGCTCCAACATTTGAATATTTACATTCATGTTTAGCAGTCCAGTTCAGGAAATATCTGTACATAGTGAAAGAACAGTGGTCGCTGCTGAGAATAATCTTGTTTCATAATTCTTAAAATATTATATATGCCTGTTTTGTACACCTCCAAAGGAATTATAAAACAATTTTTAGGCTAATTATAGTATTCAAAACATTATTCACATCAAGAGAAGATTCAGTGTACATCTCCTGATTGAAAAATATCCATATTGTTTATCATTTTATCTTTTTCAATTAACTTAAAATAAAACAAGTTGCATATTTTATCACCTCGCTTTGTGATTTGGTCACAGTCAAGGTAACATTCACACAGAATTGAATATATTTTCTCTTCATTTGATTCATCTAAGAGAGATGTTTGCAAATGTAAATATATAATATTAAATCTTTTCTATCGCGATTCATTGGATAAGCAAATTCAAAATGGAAATCTTCATATGAAGACTTTAAAAGTAAATTATTGTGAAAAAATGATTTACTATAATAGTCTTTTCTATATACATGTATATATAAAACTTGGAAAAGTTATGGTGAAGGTTCAAAAAAAAATTAATTCTTTCATTTTTTTAAAGAATAAGTTTATCTTTTTCTGAGACACAGTTTCATTTTATTAAAAATTCAAATGAATTATTTCTTAATATTGATATATATATATAATTTTTTCCTTGTGTGTTGATACTATGCTAAAAATGATTTAAGGGTGTCTTTTTAATTTGTTAGTTTTATAATTTATCCCAGAAGATAATAGATAATTGTTGCTCTTGCCAAGTCGCCTTTGGGTGTGTGGATCCAATATCTTATTGGATTTGTGGCCTGTATTTTTTAGATAACCCACCTTTTTTGTGAACAGGCAGGTTGTGTTTTGTAGGGATTTGAGAAGTTTATTCTCATGTAATTTTAGGTTATGTTTGTTTGCAGACAAAAAAATTATTTTTAGCATAATACTTAAAATAATACTTGGTTTGTCAAGAAACAAGGTCATTGACCATGGTGTCATTTGAAAGAGCTTAATCAGTGGAGTATGCATACCAAATATGAAGTCTTTACCTTTTATGGTTCAAAAGTTATGGCGAAGGTTAAAGTTTGCAGAAAAAAATATTTTTAGCATATAGGTCACAGTCAAGGTCACACGGTCATTGACCTTGGTGTCATTTGAAAGAGCTTAATTAGTGGAGTATGCATACCAGATATGAAGTCTCTTTCGTTCATGGTTCAAAAGTTATGGCGAAGGTTAAAGTTTGCAGACACACAGACAAACAGATAAACAGACAGACAGACAAACAGACAGGACAAAAACAATATACGCCTTGGATCTTTCGATCCGGGCGCATAAAAATCTGGAATTTAATGTTTTGTAATTTTGCTCTTTTTTCTTTAAATAATGCAAAAATTTTCACAGTTTGATATCTTTTCAAAACCCCTGGTAACGCATGCTAATTTTTTTTTCTAAGAACATGTAATGGTATTGTAAGTTAAAATTTATAATATCTTGAAAAATTATCAGTAGGTGAGGTACGTTGCGTATGTCCTTAAAGTAAAATATTGTGAAAAAATGATTTACTACTATGATTGTCTTTTCTATAAACATGTATATATAAAACCTATGGGAAAGGAGACCCCAGAAATAACATCGATGTGAGAGTTAATTCTTTCATTTAAAAAAAAAGAATAGGTGAGGTACATGTACGTTGCGTATGTCCTTAAAGTAAAATATTGTGAAAAAATGATTTACTACTATGTTAGCCTTTTCTATAAACATGTATACATAAAACTTATGGGAAAGGAGACCCCCAAAAAAACATCGATGTAAGAGTTGATTCTTTCAATTTTTAAAAAAAAGAATAAGTTTATCTTTTTCTAAGTGGTTCTGAGGAGGAGAATTTCTATAAAACTAAATATTTCATTTCATTTTATAACAAATTCAAATAAATAATTATTCATCCCTTCCCGTAGAAGCTGCATTTTAAAAGTTAATACTTATTATGTGAGGATACTATTTACGTGCAAATATATAGGCGAACGAATTCTTCAATACTAAATGAATCACTGTATTTGAATTTCATATACAATTATTCATAATGCATTATGCTATATTTACACCATAGTTTTCTAGAATGAACATTAAATATGTAAATATATCTCAAGATACAAATAATGATAATTCCTTTGCTTCAAAGAAAATGACAAATAATTATATCAAAATTTAACCCAAACGAATTATATATTGTATTCAATTTATTTTGCATTAATGTTTTTTTTTTTTTTTGGCTGCTTTTAAAGCATATTGTTAATTCTGCTTTCTAAACAATTTACGAAGTACAAAGCCCAATGTACATGTATCTTTTTTCTGTCGAAGGAAGAAAAGCAATGAAAACATTATTGATTAAAAAGCTTACCAGTAGTACTTGTTGTACCTGTTAGAATATATTACAATAACAAACTACATCCAAAAAATATATTTATGTTTATGTGTTTTTTGACTTGTATAGATTTGGTTCATGTATTAAAAATATGGTGTTAATAATAAAAAAATAATTGTGTTCTTGTGTATAAGTTATTGCCAGATTGGATTTCTTAATTGATTTTTATATAGAAATAATATATCAAATAAATAATAAACTTAAGTTGTTCTCAATCTAATCAAGGTAACACTTACTTTCTCTTGATGTAGATGCTGGAAAATATAAGTAGAGACAATGAAAATAATTGTTCATAGAATATGTCTTTTAAGTATATAAGTTAATAATAATGATAATGCAAATGAAAACCTCTATAACATTTCAATTATTAGGTATTAATTATGAAACAAGACCCTCAAAAATTAACATTGATTTATTGATTTAATTAATATATTCTGTGTATAAATAAGCCATTTTTATGGTTATCGTTATAGCGACAAATATTTCTATAATTCCGAATATTTCATTTCTTCATTGCAAATCCATACAATGAAATACATGGAGATAACGAATAGTGAAGCTTAAAAGTCTATAAATCAATACAAAATTTGGAGCAGAGCAAACACGGACCTCTAAAACATCTGAGATGGGATCAGGTACCATGGAGGAGTGAGCATCCCTTGCCAACCGGCCAGGTCAGCCGTGGGCTCTTTGGCATGAGCGGGAATTAACGAAAATAACCGTAGACAATGATGAGCAGAAAGGATAATTAATAGATGTTGATTTTTTATAATGTTTCCATAAAGCTTTAACCATTCAATTTTAACGGATTGCATCAGTCCAAATACCATACAGTATTCGTCTGTGTAATGAAATGTTCCTCTATTAACATTTTTTTTAATTACAGTAAATTGAATTTTGTTTTAAAGGACAACCCAAAGTAAAACACTTGTTTTAATGAAAAATTTACATTTGACTTGTCGCCTTGACAATATGCCTATAGTTCCAGATCGAAAGTTAAGATTAAAAAGAATTTTGATTGTAAGTATTCAATTGATTGTCAAAAACAAATATGTGAATCTTCGAAAGACCTTATTAGAATACATATTGAGCAATACACATAATGTGAGTGATACCAATAACATTTTGTGTATTTATTTATTATTAGTGTCAGAAATCTTGACTTACTTATCGTTGGATTACATTGACAAGTCCCAAAGTTGTGGGAAAGGAGGTAGTGGTCACAGTTTGGTGTTGTTCCAGCTGGACAGTGACAATCTCTATCTTCCACACACTCTTTGCATAAAGAAATAATACAAAATTATTCATTACACTGTAGTTTATTCTTACTGAAAGTACATATCAACTGAAAGTTAATATGAATGATTACTTAGTTGATTATTTATGAGATGTGGATAGGAAAAACTTTTCCTATTAGCCGATACCCTTAATTTCCCCGGTCAATGTGTTTTCTCACCCCCATTTTTCTCTTGAAATTTTCCTAATTTTCACCTTTTCCTCACCTTCTTCCATTCCTCTAATTTCTCTATCTACATTCTGCATCTCACACCCACCTTCTTTCTCCCATACCTACTTTTCTTCATCTCTCATTTACCTTACCATTTTTTTGATTTCAAAAAGGAAATCATGAATTTGATAAATAAAACATTTCAATCATTTTTTGTGTTATTAATATTGTAATGTTTATTTTTTCATGATTATTCATGTGTTTAATATATGCATGTACTTGTTAAAGTAAATGAAATATTTAGAATTTGTATACGTTGAACTAAGAATTCAATGAGACATAAAATAATACTATTTCATTAATATAGAAATAATGCACATTATATATAACACCCACGTTAATCCAGTATGCTGAATCTTACCCGTACAGGCACAGTGGCGCCCGATTTCAAAAATTATAAAAGCATGATCGTGCTTGCAGTACGGAGTGGGTTTGTCAGTGGAACATTTGTGGCTGGTACAATCAGAATGCTGGTTACAGTGCACATAAGACTGGGCAACTGAATAAAAAATAATCAGAAAATAAGTCATTTATCTCAAGATGTTAAAAGAGGATTTTCATACCAAAAAAAATATCTGCCTTTATATTATTTCATTTCGTTATCTTACATAAAAGGTAACTCTATCAAATGAACTTTGAAATTGCAGTCGAGAAAATATGAGAGTTTGACCTCTGCATGATCTGTCAAAATTTACCATTGGTTCAGCGATCTCTTCTGCAAATTGAGTTTTAGAATTTCGCTGTTTATATATACAGCAAAACTCGTTTAGTACGAACACAGATATTGCGAATTTACGGATCTTGGATCCCCAGCTTTATAAAGAACTATATGCGGTATATTGCATATTTTTGCCCCCACAAAAGTCAAATTTTGAAAACTTCCTGAAATGTGCTGAATTCAATAAATTGTATGAGAAATATAAATTAACAGAAAATATTATAGTGTCAAAGCAGTGTATTCACAATTTTTGTTCTTATGACGTCACAGACTAGTCCGATTTTATATCCTTTTTCAGAAAGAGGACAAAATGGACAAAATTTCAACAATTTTAGCTTTAAAATTTATAGAGCGCAAGTTTGTTCAGGAACAATATTGACATATTTCATTGATATTATCATTCTACACATTATATCAAAATATTGATCCTGAACACACATGCGCTCGGTGACTTTTACTCAAAATATCGACGAAATATGTACATTTTTCTGTAAAATTCATAAAAACTTGAAATTTACGTCATGTTTGTGACGTCATTACGTACATATGGCGTCATTACTTATGAAAAAATTCAATGCGTTGAAGTCAGCATATACCCCCCCCCCCCCTGTTTAAGAACTTAGTTAAATATATCTCCATCAAAGTTTGATTTGGGGGGCAAATATTGGTTATTACCGAATAAAGTTCTTTAATGTTTTTTATACGGTTAGAACGAATTACGGATATAGCAAAGTAATTTCACAGGTTCCAGTGACTTCGATATAAACGAGTTTTATTGTATTGCTATTAAAGTGATTATATTATGATGAAATCAATTCTTAAACCTTTTCCTTTTTTTAGATTATCGAAAAAGTATATGAGATCTGTATCTTACCTGGGTTTAGTGTAGAAGCTATTAAAGATAGAATGTAAATTTACGCATATGTATATTTAAAAGTATATTTAACAAGTAATGCATAAATAGGAATTGGATTTTATTTCAATATACGAATTATATTCTTACCAACTGACGACTGAGTTGTTTCTACAAAAAAATATAGATATAGATATATATATATATATATATATATATATATATATATATATATATATATATATATATATATATATATATATATATATATATATATATATAAGGAACAAACCCAAATAGATGTTTATTTTAAGATGTTGATTAAATATCAAAGTGAGGAACATTGTGGTACGGGAACGTAATGAATTTCTATAAATATAAATGTTTAAACAAAGTTTTATATATTTCATAATCTTATAAAAAAAAAATGCTATTTAAACATCCATACCTGGGTGTTTGACTGGTTGATCTAAAAAATGTTTAAAATATTTACACATTATATTTCATAAGCATAAAATACGAGGTCTGATCCAAAAGTTGTTGGAATTTCTTCATATTTTGTTTATTCATTAGTGAAAATAGTTGAAAATTACAAATGAGAATAAGACACTTGTTTTTCACAAAAAATTAAATAAATATCTATGGTAGAAACCCTATAAACGGATGTATGAAAATACGGGGAGAGATTTACTCTTTCATTATCATTTTTATTTTAAATGAAGAAATGAAGAAAAAATTGCGTTAAGTGGCAAATAAACGAAAATTATGTCTTCGTTACGATTGTTCGACCTCTTATTAACCTTTTTTTGAGAGTTTTACTGCTTTAAATGGAAATTAAATTATTAGTTAATTATTTATTTTGTAGCTTTAAATTGTTAGACGTCAAATTGCGATCAAGTTATAAGTTTTGTGAAAATCTCAGGAATACACTTACTCGTATACTATTGATACATTCCGGAGAAAAATACATTTAATAACTGGTTTTCTAGTTTTCTAGTGGTGAGAAATATAAAAAAAAATAATTGAATTTTCATGGAGGTTGATTTTATACAATTATTGACTTTTGATGAGGTCTACTCGTGACTATACGGACCTCGTCAGGTATTGGTTTACCGAGGCCAAAGGCCGAGGTTAACCAATACATGACCAGGTCCGTATAGTCTCGAGTAGACCTTATTCAAAAGTCAATAAGTGTATATTATTAAATGATCAGGAATTTTACAACATTTTATTAAACAATAATACTCAACTATTGTACGTAAGAAAGTAGTTTTGTTTAATTGGTATCTGCCATGTTTACATTGCATTCACAAAGACACATGCTATAAGTCGTCCAATTTGATTTGTAGAAGAAAATGCAAGAAAATCTATGGTTGATCAAGAGGAAAAACCCGAATAAACCTCCCAGAACGTCATTTGAGATGAACTCACTCTGAGGAACATCTCACAAAAAAGGCGTCTATACCAATCAGAGAGCATCAAAATTCCTCATCATTTAATAAAAAGTGTAGTCGCCTTTCGAATGGTGTGTTTTTCCTCGTAGACAAATTAAGCGCTAATGGGCGTCGACCGATGACGTTTTGTGCTACACATTGCTACTGAAATTATATTATCATATTTTTTATACTAGCTAGCCAAATGTACTTTTGCAACTTATTGAAATGAAAATTACTTACGTGCACAGTAGCATCGATGATAGCTGCCACAGGTTGGAATCATATTGCTAGAACACGGATGGTGATTACAGTTGTAGTCATGATAACAGTGACTTTGGTCTATGAAATTATATAATAACCAAGAAGGTGTAATTATAAATATCCAAATGTAAATAATGCACATCACCTTCCATATTGTGTATATTAACAACCTTGGAAATATCAGGACATTTGTGTAAAAATGTTTTCCACTACAGAATGATGGTGTGCATATTTATAAAGAATCAAGTACACAGATAGGTGGTTTAATGGTTTTTTTTATTACTTTGAATTATATATTCAAAATAAATATAATACAAAAGCGAATGTGAGTAAGTCCCCATGATTTCGAAATGTCCCTTCTTATAACTATTCCTTATTTCACAAAAACATAGGTAATGTTTTCTACAAGATTGGTAGAGAAATTCTTAATAGGTTTGCTTTGTTAAAAAAAAAACGAATTCACTTTTTCATTAAAATAAAATAAATACCTCTACAATGACAGCTACCACTGTGGGAATCACGTTTGCTGTTGCCATGGTGCTGCTGATGGCTATGTGTTTGACAATAAGGAGTTTTTCCATGATCACAGCCATAGTCATCGCAGTCTTGATCATCACTGCATCCTTTTACCAGAAGAATATTTTTTTTTACTTAATAACTATAGATGTATAAGTAATGATCGTAATACAAATGGAATTATTTCAAAACTTTACTTTTCGTATCAATTTACTTACTACATGAATTTTGTTTGTTTGTTTTTTTTGTTCTCAATTTGATATTCGAAGTACAAATCATGTATTTATACTTTTTTGTAGCAAATACATATATATTACCGTCTGCTTTTGTGTTAGTGCACGTTCCTATGAAAAAGAATCAGTTTTAAAAAATTAAGTTTCTTTCTCTGTGATTAATAGATTAAGCAATATGAATAAAGATTCGAATTAACTGAAAATAATTATTTTTTCATTTAAAAACAATTGTACCTACATTAAGTATATAGTTAGCATTTTACCGCAAATAATATCAGAATTATTTCACAATTTTATTCAAAAATGCGAAAATCATATTCCTATAAACCCGATAGGATTTTTTTCTTTTTTTTTTTTTTTTTTTTTTTTGGCATAAACAATTCAGTTTAACATCAATTAAACGTTTCAAAATTTGATGAAAATTACCTGCCAAGAGGAATAATAAAATAATTGAATTTCTCATTTTAATACTCCTTGACAATCCCACCTCTGCGTGTTAAATCGAGAAAATTTTCTTTTAGGACCACGGTCTTTTGATTGTCGTGATAAGAAATAACAGCAGGTAAATATGTCCTTTCTGAAATTTATTTCGGTGAAAGAAGATAACTTTATAATCAGTTTGAAGACAGAAGAAATAAGCGTGTTGTTTTGTTGCTCCATAATAAGGGATAATAAGGATGAAAGGGAGTTTAAGATTACTTGAATATGCATTGAAAAGTCTAACAACGACTTTTCAAAATATTTTTTAAAATTTTAATTTTTTTTTTTTTTTTTTTTTTTTTGTATCTTGAAATTCAATGCTATTTAAAAATGCTGCCATCTGAATAATGCACAACACAAAAACGTAAGTTGGTGCCTGGAATCGGCAGTTAAAATGTACAGTTTAAATTTGCAAGGGGTTTTAATGATGCACTAAACATTGCGTTCTATCCTAAACAACAGATATCAGCAACAGTGAACAACAAATGATTGCAAAATATGGCAGACGGCACATTTAATCAACAGCATGGGATCGCCTCGTTGGTTGGTGTCATATTTATCAACATTCTGTATTATTGTTTTTGTCAACTCTTTTCCTCAGAATGATTCTGCATCGCTTGATTTTCAATTAATTAAACTCAAATACATATTAGAATCGAAATTGGTCATTTATTAGCAAAATGACCAACAACTTTTTCATATACATAACATATGTACAATAGGAAAGATAATTATTACTTATAGTTCAAACTATATCAATGTAAATTTATAAACTTACTGCGTCCTTTGGACGACGTCTTAGCCTATCGTTATTGTCTGCAGAGTCAAACCAGATTTTGATTTTGAATGCATATGACCTTGTACAACTATATATGATTGTTAAAGTATTAAGTAGTAATTTTTCCTTGCAATGAGGTTGGTTGGGATATATATATTAACACAAATGAGATTGTGTTTGTAGGTGTGTTACATGCATGTTCTGTTTGAAACAGTCCTTGTTATAATTAATTGTAGATCTGTTGTTTATCACACTTCTTTTGACGCCTCATTGTACTATATATTCATTATATCTAATATCTCTCTGAATATTACTTTGCGTTTTTATATTCGAATAAACACAATTGTCAATTGTCCTTATTTCTCACTGACCTCTTGATATACCTATCCTCAATCTTTCTAGTGCCCTTGTACAGTGTAACCTTACGCAATAAAATCTATCATCAGTGTAGTATCTGTTGAGGTTATGTGATACACAAGTGTTCTTAGGGCAAAGAGACCAATATTGATAACAAATATATAGGCAATGATAAGACTATTAAACATGCTAATTCCCAATTAGTTGATCATTACCACAATATCGCATCGTCCTTTCAATTTTTATATACTTTAATTTTTTATTTTTCAAACAAAACAACACATGCGTTTTTATCTTTTTGAATGTTGTGAATTAATGAAGAATACCATGAATCATACTTAATGTTTAAGCAATTTGTATGCCAACAACAAGCAAAATATCAAATAAAAACAACGTATCTTTTTTTTTCAAAAACATTATATTATTTAGCGTTTTCTTTTTTCCCTACATTTTGAATCTCTTTCGAGAAAACCACTTGAGGACATCTGAATATCTGAAAGATAACTGTTGGTGTTTCATTTTCACAAATATTTTGATAAAATAAATCTTTGCTTTATATCGGTATAAAGATCAGGGAAAGTAAGGTAAATTTGATCTACTTTTTGTGCTCATTTTATCAACATTTTCCCTCCTTATCATAACCTGAATTATATATTACTATTACAGTTCAAAGTGACTAGCGATGGAATTAAAAAATTATTTTATTGAAAGGTTGAATTCTTAGCACAGATATTCTGTAAAAAAAAAAATTATGAACAAAAAACTCTTTTTCAGTCCAGAAAAGGGAATAAAAACGTTGATGACTTATTTTTTTATCAATGGGACAGGAAACTTCCAATATGTTTGTTCCTTTCATTTAACTAGGGGATACATAGACAGATTATCTTTAGAACCATTAATATTGAAGAAAAACAGTAGCCTTAGAATATATTAAGTAAATATTACTTGGTTTAATGGTCATATTCAAATGTTTTTTTAACTTGAATCTTTAGAACAAAATAATGAAAGGAAACATTTCAACACTTCGAACTGCTAGATTAAAACCATCACTATCTATCATATGCCTTTTTGCGATTTGGAATTCCATCATTTTCTGTAGACTAGATCAAGTTTTAGTCCGTTAAATCATCCTCTTATGAGATAATAATGAACTTTCATTCGAAGAAATATTTAAATGATAGTTTAATATGCCAAGATACGTGTTCTTTCATACAGTCAATAACATTCACAACAAATAGCAGATGATTGCAATCGTTTTTTTTATGCTTCTTATTTTGATAAAATAGAAATGCTAATTATTAAGATAAGCAAATTTTGATATACTTTTTTGTTAAATATATTAAATTTTGTCCCTCTCATCATAGCCTGAATTAATTGCATGTATTATACTACAATTCAAAATGATGAGTTTGGAATATAAAAAAAAAATATATTGAAAGGGAAATTTTCTGAAAATCAGCATAAAAATATTTGTTTATAAGATTAATTTTTTTTTAAACAAAAAAAAAAACAAATGACATGAACTGTATATGCTGATTCCTTTTCTCGATATGCACAGAACTTTTGATTTGTTTGTTTCTTTATTTACATTAAGCTGCCTTATAAAAGCATTCTGAGAGTTTTGCATAAACAATACATGTCCGCTACCGGGTATCCCTTTTCTCTTTGGGATGTGATTTTATGAGACCCTGCTTATTAAAAACTGCTCCCCCCCCAAAAAAAAAATATGTACTTTGCGGTAATAAATTATTCATTTATGAATGAAAAGCATTTTAATTAAGTCGATCTGCCTTACAAATAGAGCTGTGTTAGAATGCCATTAGACATATATATGCAGGCTTATATCAAAACAGCTCATTTTACATTTACATGGTTTAAAACGGTCTTTGGTCTATGATTTGTCATTATAAAGCTACCCAGCAAGTTCCAAATAATCTATAACTTTTAACATGACAATCTCTTTGGAAAATTATTTTAGTCCAGCACAAACTAGATCGTAAATCGAATAATAAAAAATTGAAAATGTCACAATTCCATCAAACATCAATGAAGTGGAAAAGAAAAATTGATCTACATGTATAACTCATCAAAGTAAAGTCACATATCAAAAATCAGCTTCATATCTTCAAGCGTATAGAAAAAAAATATGTCTTCTAATGCTATGCAGGCTCACCGCAGCTAGTTTTTGCTAAGTATGTATAAACCACATAAAACTACGAAAGCCCAGAAGGCTCATTCGAGATTCAAGTTTCGAAATACGAGATTCAAAATTCGAGATTCGAAATTCGAGTTTCGAGATTCAAGATCCAGATTAACCAATCAAAAGGCTCATTCCAGATTCGAGTTTCGAAATACGAGATTCGAAATTCGAGTTTCGAGATTCAAAATCCAGATTAACTAATCAATACGGGTTCAACATTTGATTACTTCCCTTTATTATGTTTTATCTATCAATAAATCGTTTAATATATTTATAACAAATGAGTCATTTGATTAAATTACAATACAAGAAAGAGTGTTATATATATTAGAAGGAAAGTTAAATAATCATTTGATTTTTGATCAGCAAGATATACTTCAATTTATATTATGACTTCTTAAATATTAAATAGAATACATATATCAGGAATATATATATTTTTGCATTGTCTACTGTATATAAAGGGTTGCTGACATAATAATACAGTTATAAATAGAGTCTAAAGATTAACAA